ATATTATATATTATATATTTTTTTTCTTTCTCTCCCCCCCTCCCCCTCTTTGGTTGTCGTTTATATTTGCGGTATATTTAGAGATTTCCTTACACATTTGTGATGTGTTTGAAATTTAAAAAGAAAGAAATCGATGGGGGGGGGCGTTTTGAGGAATAAAACAGGTATCAAAAACAAAACCCCACAGCGCTCTGTTAAAAACAAAAAAATCTGCATGCTGTTCTAAGGGCTGGAGAAAAGGGAGACGAGTGCTTCCCCCCCCCTTTTTTTTTTTCTTTTTTCTTTTTTTTAAAGGAAAAATAAATCTGAAACGGACTTGGGCTCGCGCCTGGTTTGTGGAGCAGCGGCAGGATCCCGCAGCCCTCTCGCCCCTGCTTTGCTGCGCTCGAGGGCTAGTGTGTTTCTGTACAGGATTCCAGTGACTTCAAGAGTCCTGATCCTGCTCAAAAGTGGGATGGGAAATTAGAGCAAGGGACATGACAGGGAGCCAGAGGTCTTTGGGACCTGCCCATAATGTGTTCTGTAGGCAGGGCTATTTTTGGGCAGGAACGCACAGGAACGGAGTTCCGGCTGGCTCCCAAGTTGGCCACGCCCAGCAGGAACTCATTAGCACAACAGGCCACACCCAACAGCAGAAACTCATTCGGATTGGCTACATTAGGGGCGTGTGGCCTAACATGCAAAGGAGTTCCTGCTACAAAAAAAGCCCTGGGTTTTGACAACAACCAAGGTAGACAGAATAAGAAGGGAAAGGTGGGTGTGGCTGGATGACCAAACTTCTGGTAACATAGGGGTGCTGCCTAATGTGCTAATGAGCTGTGCTGTCAGGGGTGTGGCCCAATATGCTAATGAGTTCCTGCTCTTGGGTGTGGCCTATTATGCTAATGAGTTCCTGCTGGGCTTTTTCTACAAAAAGAGCCCTGTCTGTAGGGTATGACTCTCATCTTCCTATGGGAGAGGGTGGCGTGTGGCAAGAAGAGTAGGTTCCTGTACCCCACTTTTCTCTATCTTCAGGGGTTAGGAAGAAGAAGAGGAGATTGGATTATACCCCGCCCTTCACTACCCAAAGGCGTCTCAGAGCAGCTTACAAACTATTTTCCCTTGAGTTTACAATCTCCTCTCCCTTCCTAGGAGGTAGGCTGCCGTTCAGCGAGTCAGCAATAGTGGTCTGTCTTCTAAAAACGTCTCCCTAGCCGTCTTCCTGGTCCGTTGCTGTCTTCTTCTGAGCCACGTGGTCTCGGCAATCACGGAGGCACAGTGGCTTGATGCCATGTGGCTACTTTCTCCACCACCACCCCCAAGAAGGTGGGGGAATTGTTCACAGTACAAATATTTTAAATTAGATCAGTCAGGCTTTGGTCCAGAGCAATGCTCCCTCTAAGCTGTGGAGTCTTGTGAGGAAAAAAATCTGCTTTCTGGGCTACTGGCATTAAAGTTGTGAGCGAGCGATTTGGCTACTGCGTAGATCAGTTTGCTCTGGAGCCCTCCTTCCTGAGCGGAGACAAAATTGTGTGAGCCGGAGGCTTAAAAACTGTCACTTAGCTCACACTAACTCAGCTTAGAGGGAACACTGGTCCCGAGAGGTGTTGGAAAGCCAGTAAAGGCACACTCCATGCTCTGACTGGGAATGGAAGAGCGTGTTTCATCACTAGAAGAAGAAGGGATTGGATTTATACTCCTCCCTCTCCGAAGGAGTCTTAGAGCAGCCTACAATCTCCCTTCAGCTGCAAAGGAGCTGCAAAGGAAGGGGGAGGGGCCCGGCGGGGTGCTCTTTCTAGCTTTTGCAAAAAGAAACAGCCTCTTTTCAGCTTTAGTAGCGTTCTTTCCCACCCCTCGTCTGCGATGTGGTCTGGGATAGCTTAATGGAACCTCCACGGCCAGAGGCACTCTACCTCAGCATCTTGGACAGTAGAGAGAAGCTTATTAGGGCTGTCGTCTTGCTTTCCGGCTGTCCTTATGACTTTCTGGGGTCTGTCCCCTGCTAGAAAACAGGCATCCCCCTTGAATGAAGGCGGGAGTAGGGTTATCTTGTCAATCAAGAGACAAGGCTCACTGGAAAAGACAATAATGCTAGGAAAAGTTGGAAGGCAGCAGGAAAAGAGCAAGACCCAACCTGAGATGGATGGACTCCATCAAGGAAGAAGATTTATACCCCACCCTTCACTACCCGAAGGTGTCTCAGAGTGGCTTACAAACTCCTTTCCCTCCCCCTCCCCACAACAGACACCCCGTGAGGTAGGTGGGGCTGAGAGAGCTCTGATAGAAACTGCTCTTTAGAAACTGCTCTTTTTTCAAGGACAGCTCTGACAGAACGATGGGCTTGCCCAAGGTCATTCAGCCCAGGTGCAAGTGGAGGAGTGGGGAATCAAACCTGGTTCTCCCAGATTAGAGTCCGCGCACTTAACCCCTACACCAAACTGGCTCTCAAGGAAACCACAAAGGCCCTTTATTCGTAAGACCAGAGCGAGGTTGTTAATAATAGGACATTTTGGACATTAATTCATACAGTCACGGTAAGTTGGAAGCCACTTGATGGAATTTAGACACACACACACACCCCAATGAACGCAAACTTGCTGAACAGGAATGGATTTTTGGGGGCTTCGTCTGCCCTGGCCGTGTTCATTCAGAGCTGTGCTCACAGCCCGTCAGACCACACAGCTGCGGATGTGCCGCAGTTTGTACCCGCATGAGCAGGGCCACAGAAGAGCCGAGTCCTCCACCACCACGATGTAATTCTTGGCCCAAAGTAAACGTGCTCCATTCATGTCCAGGGGCTTAGCTGGACTACCAGAAACATACCTAATCGCGGAGGAAATGTGGGCGTCTGCAGAAGGGGAACAGATCTGTCCAGCTCAGCTTCTGCTTCCACCCTGGTTGGGTGTGTGTGTGTGGATGTGACGCAGTGTTCCCCCTAAGCTGAGTTGGTGTGTGAGCTAGCTCACGGTTTTTTAGCCTCCGGCTCAGGCATTTTTGCCTTCACTCAGGAAGGAGGGCTCCAGAGCAGACTAATGTATGCAGCAGCCCAAATCGCTCGCTCGCAACTTCAATGCCGGTAGCTCACAAAGTAGAATTCTTGCTCACAAGACTCCACAGCTTGGAGGGAGCATTGAAGGTGAGCCGCTTGTATCTGGGGAGGAAGGGGGCTCCCTTCAGTGTGCCCATGCCAGCACTGGCCGGAGGAGGGGGAGATAGGATTTATACCCTGCCCTTCACTTGGAGTCTCAGAGCAGCTTACAAACTCCTTTCCCTTCCCCTCCCCACAACAGACACCCTGGGAGGTAGGTGGGGCTGAGAGAGCTCTGACAGAAACTGCTCTTTTTCAAGGACAGCTGTGCCAGAGCTTGTGACTGACCCAAGGTCATCCAGCAGCTGCAAGTGGAGGAGTAGGGAATCAAACCTGGTTCTCCCAGATTAGAGTCCGCACACTTAACCACTACACCAAACTGGCAACAGGGAGGTCGCAGGAGGAGGCCTCATCCTTATGAGGCTCACATGCTGACACAAATGCCTCCCAAAGAGTGTCAAAGGGACAGAGGAGGGTCCGGCAATGTGCAGCTGCGCATCTTTGGCACCCCGTGGCATGCATCCCTCTCTCACACAAACATACCTTGTGCCGTAGCTGATTTTTGGCTTGTGACATACACTACCCCCCCCCACACACACACACCCCATGAAAGATCAGACATGTCATAGAGAACATTGGCACATAGTTTTTAATAAAGTCTGTTGTCAAAAGGGGGGGCGGTATTTTCGGCTGTGGCGTAGGAATGGGGGGGGCCAGCTGTTTCCCTCATACCCGCTGCCCCATTAGCAAAAAAAAAAGAACAAGGGGCTTAGGGGAAGATGTACCCTTGTGTAAGGAGGGGGGG